GAAAAACACGGCACGGAAACCAAGCAACCAAATGAAGTGACATTCAGGAAAATTCATATATGTGATTTTTCAGGAGCCACCAAAGAAAACCATATCTTATTTATTGGTTAGTTACTCATTTGCTCCTCTGCCAACCCCCCCCTGGTAGCTCGTGCATACTGCCGCTTTTATCTCATTCGTGTCAGGCTTGACTTTGGTTATCGTGCCTCTTCGTTGCCAGCACTCATTTCCTAGTTGAAATCACAGATGTGTTCACCGCACTGCGTGTGCTCCCACATGCTCCCAGAATGCCTCTTTATACACTGGTGAAATATTGTCTTCCCCACAACTTTCAGCTCCTCGCTGGAGGGAAATGGATTCGTCTTTTATTTAGTATCTCATTGAATTGCTGCTCATAAGGGAAATTACTGGAAACGTTAAGGAAATCTAGCCAAGTATTTACTTTCCTTGAAAGTAAGAACATTACATTTTAATGAGGGAAAAATGGAAAAATAAATAAAATACTGTTGAATAATTATTTTAAGAAATCTTATGGACAGACTTAACACTTACATTGTACAACTAAAAGATCTACATTGAGCTTTTTAATTGCACTCTGATGATATTGCGCCTGTTAACACCTCGACTGTTATTTGACTCGTTACATTTCAAATCACAGTTAAGCAGATTCCAATTAACGGGCCGTCGGTCACACATTTGAGTCTGATAGCGTAGCTTGATTTGATTATTTCGATTAGATTTAGGAACACAAATAGCACTTCAGATCAACGGGGAAACATAGTTTTAGAGCTCTTAAAATACTCTGGATGTATTTGCACAGCGGCCCCTTGCGGGCGTTTTTATTTCCCGGGGCAAGAAACCTGCAAAGAGAGGACACACTTCGTCCTCTTCATGTGGATAATCCCTTATCAGGTCCTTGAGGGCCGGCTGCAGAGGGTCCACAAGCACACAGCGAGCACGAGAAGGTGCTTGGGGTGAAACCACGGTTCCTCCTCCACACGTTGAAACGCATTAATGGGGATTGATTTACCTGCGTGTGATCAATGCTCTTCTAGTCCTTGTTTGCGTACCTGGACGTCAGTGGCCCCAGGTGTCTGTCACTTTGTAGCAACCCAACATGAAGAAGAAAAAAGTAGTTTAGCCTCTTTAACAAATGTTTTGATCGAATTAAGGCAACGTCGTGTTCTCTTGGCCCTGTAATTTATCATGTCTGTTCCCTTAATAATGCTTAAATATAATAAGGCTTTTAGTCCTAAAAATAAACAAAACAATATTTGTCCTTCCAAATATACTTGTATGTGCTGTGGAGGACGTGGAGACCGAAATGAGCATAGAAGATCCGGTTACTCAAAACAAAATGTACCACTACATTGTCCTCAATGACCAAAGTCTGTCTATGGATAGCTATCCCACTGTGAGCCTGTCCTAGGCTCATGCTTTTTATATTATTTTGATAATCAAATGATTGAATATGTGATGTATAACATGTCAGAAAATAGGAAACAAAATTAGTAGTGTTTGGTATTGTTTTTGGATGAAAAACTGATTTTCAAAATAGTTGGCAATTAGCTCTCTGTCAATCTTCTTATTGAGGAACTGAATAATCCTTTCAATGCAAAACCCTAATTGTGTTTTGTAAAAATGCAAATTGTGTTCAACTGCACATTGGTTGCTTGGCGACGACCCAATTAGGACTCTGGAGTTGGACTTGGAATCCAAACCATTATCTAAGTCTTAGATAATGGCTGAACAAAGCACTCTTTGCAGCAGTGATTATGGGTATTAGCTGCAGCAGTCAAGATGTTGTTGAATGCAAAATAATTATGTTTTGGTTGAATGTCTTGAATCTCAAAGCATCTTGAATCTAATATCCTATATCTTATAAAACCGTAACCTTTTTTTTATTAACTTCCATGAAGCCCTAAAAGCAAGTATTGCTAAGAGCCCTCTCTGGGAGAGTGAAGCCTTTCACCGAGTATTAGTCTATTCATTAGCAATTAGCACTTAGCAATCTTTTATTCTCCTCTCACTTGTCTGGACATCACTTTTGGTGAGAAGAGGTTAGAAGAAATCTCCTGGAAAAAAAGCAGTTTTACTTTGTCATTAAAGGTGCTCTACTTAAGTCTAAACTTTAATATAGCAGCAAACCCCTTTTGGAGGAGTAATTTCTACCTGAGCAGAGTATAAAGTTGCTCTCCCTCTGAGTGATGCGATCCAAGCTTCTCAAAAAGCAATCAAAATGCTCCCAATCCTGTATTTATTGCACCTTTTTATAATGGAAAGTGAATGTGTTCATGCAGCTTGTATTTCTTTATTGTAAAGGGGGCTGTTCAGTTGCCGGGAAAATAAAGTGAAAGAAGAAATACACTTTAACCTTGAAATTTACGCCATACAGATGATGATTCATTCAAAGAATTCTAGCTGCATGAGTCACGAATAAAACATTGATTTACTGTGCAAAGGGAGTGATTTAAAAAAAATCTGTAAATGTAAGCTGGGCTGCATTAACAAATTAAACCAGTACCTTCATTTTAACAAAAGAAGAGTAATGCAGAGCAATAACGGTGTAAGCGAAGGGCCTATACTCAAATTACAGTGGCTGAGCAGCAGACCCTGGTGAGATTTGTCACGTTTTGTTGACATTTTGACGAAGCAAGAAATCATTTTTGTAGTGTAAAGCCCATCGTTGGCATATTGCTATTCTTGAATCTTTTAAGTGTGTCATCAGTCTCAGTCCGCTCTCATTTGTCACATCTTGTCCAGCAGTAGGCCTTCTGTCTCTCTTACTGACTCTCTTATCCTTTGTAATGCAACCTTCAGATCTGACTAACCATATCAAACTTAATGATCATCCATTTTACTGGGACAATTAAAAATAAATAGAAAATTCTGATGAATCAGAATTTGCCACTTAAATATTAACGCTGAACCCCTTTATGTGGCTGTTGTATTGACAGTGTCCCTGCGCTTGGCTTCATTTTCACATTTGATCATTTATTGATGGTCCGAACTGCAAAATGAACGCTGTGTGTGTGTGTGTGTGTGTGTGTGTGTGTCGGCACACATGTGTTGCGCATCAATACGCGATCTGTAGCATCATCTGATGAAGCAAGCCGACGAGGACGACGCACATCTGTTCCTGTAGGAAAAGTGCACCAATAATTGATGCCCCTGAAAGTGACAACGTGGTTCCTGCAGACGACATCGAGGGGAACGCCGCTGCCGTCACATCTGGGCTGCGAGACAGATGGTGAACCAAATGATGGGCTGCAGTTTTTAGAAGTAATCTGACTATGGAGAAATGTTGTTAAGTGTGTCTTTGCATGTCTGATTATGAGATCCTACGTGTGCGACGTAACCTACCTGTCACACACACACACACACACACACACAGCTTGCACGATGAAACACAAGAGTTGGGAGATGAAGGGATCGCGCGATGTGTGAATTGGTAGGATGTTCAGAATAATCATCATAATAATAATAATAATAATAATAATACCAAGCTTCTATGCTTTAATTCACACACTCCACACCCTTTTTTAATTCGAGGGCAGGCTCCCTTAGAGTGGAGAAGATTTTACAGGAGCCTTCTCTAAATGTTACACCACTTAGACAAATGCTACCAGCGTTTGACATATCCGATGCCATGAGCTGACTATTCATTTTATCTATTTGTCTAAAACCTTTCAGCCTAAATACGTGTTTGCATGGTGCTAAACAGCAACATATCCACTTTGAATAATGTCGAGAAAAGAGAAAATATTTCCTTATTTTTTTTGCACTGCAGGAAAGTTGGCAATATGATTGAATGTTGATTTCAATTTGCATAAATTCAAAAAATTCACAGCGTTTAACAGCGTTTCCTGGCTACATTTTTCAAGTAATTGATCTTGAAAGCTTTTAGAAAATGAAACAGAAGCGAGACTTGCATAGTCCTTATAAACAAAGACATTTTTAAACCTCCCTGTTTAAAGCTGGCCGGGATGCCAGTACTGGACACACTAAATGTTACATTACTCCAAGCAAGCAATTTGAGTAAATATAAGCAAGTTCCCTAATTGATCCCCTGGGGATGCTGCACTGTAGCTGCAATAGGTTTCTGGTATTGCTCGACATTTTGCATACGCCAAAAGGGGAGAAATGCAACAGACATCGGATGTGCATGGGCGGAATAACAAAACATGGGGTATGAAAGGTTAATGAGTCGGAGAAGTGGGAGCGGAGTCTGTCATGTGAGACTTGGAGAGGAGTGAGGCAAGTAACCGAAGAAGATCAGCATCTTCAACAAAGGCAGTGCAGCATTCATGGCAAACGATGTGTTGCGTCACACGTGTGAAGTGAAAACGAGGGAGTGATGATGGTTCAGGAGGGTGGAGGGGAGGAGGTTCCCACATAATCCAGTTATTCTCACTCATGGACTGTTTCACATGCGAACGCTTATTCAAACGCAAAAAGAGCAAATGTCCCCAGTGTTTAATAAGCGTCTCCGGTTATCATTTCTGCCTTGATATTGATGACTTTGTGTGAAAGCGTTTTGACGTTCTACGGGAATGTGGGATTGCAGCGATATCACAAGGTCACGTGAGAAATGCGTGAACACAAGATTACACCGACAAAACAAAAAAAAGCCCTGTTGTCAGGCTACGAGCTGTGCGTTTGTGTCCAGGCCACCAGCCTCGGGACCAGCACGGACCCGTGAGGTTTCAGCAATAGCTGCAGCTAAAGCATTTCTTGTGTCAGAACTGGACAGAACTCGAGGCTTTTCTCCATGAAAAATGTGTTTTTTTCGCTCTTCTCCGTCTCTGTCTTGATTGACACATGGTTCATCCAATCACAGTATTTTTGTCCGCCCTTTTACAAAAAGGTTTCTCAGATGGTTCTGTGGTTACAAACCGTTTGATAGGTTACTAAATGCCCAAACACTGGAGAAAATGCACATTTACTGTATTTGCTCCACTTGCTTTTATGTTCTCACCCCATGAACTGATCTCTCGCAGGCGAGGAGGCTGTGTGCTCACCCGTTCCTCGAGATCTACAGAGAGGGGCTGATCCAATTCATGGCCCCGTTGGCCCGGCAGGGAGATTTCTACGTGCCTGAAATCCGACAGGCAGAGAGGAGGCTGTTGGAACGGGAGGATTTTCACAGTGACTCCGAAGGCTCAGGTACGTGTGGGGGCCCATTTAGTTCTCTGTATAAGCGCACGCATTTCTTTGGTACTTGAACCGTGTGGGTTTCAAAACCGTGTTATACTATACAGGTCATCATTTAGCATCATTTAGCATCCCCACGTAATCTTTACTATAACGTCATGGCTCCAAATCAAGCTTAGTCTCCATAATTGATTGTTTGTCTCTTCTTAAATTGAGCAGGCCAACAAATGCCAGTTACACCTAAAAACTGTCTTCTCCATCCATATAAAACATATTTAAGGGCCTCCTGGCGCAATACAGTCCCCCTTTTCAGTGAGAAACCGAAGGGAAACGTTCAAAAGCCTGAATGAAGATTGTTAGATATGTTTGCAGTCAGCTCAGTTCATGCGGTCTGTAAACAGTCTAATGTCAGCAGATGGTCTCTGTTTGCAACTGGATCCCTTTTACATTACACTTAGATCGGTGCTACTATCCACACACAGTTACGGCGCGATTATTAGTGTCTTCAGAGAGCTGGTGTTAAGTTTCGAATGCAATGACAGTTTTGTTACAACAACCAACTGAATAAAGCTGAAAATACAAGAGAAAGAAAACCAAGAAAAGGATTAATGGAAAAATAATGTTTGTATATAAAGGAATAAACTAAATATTCTTGCCGTAAAAAAACCCCAGTGCTTGTATTTTCTCTTTCCTCTCTCTTAATTGCCTGGAGGGACCTCTGGCGAGAATCTCCTGGCATGACCTTTGGCCCCGGCTGACCCGCTCGCAACCACCAATTGACCTCCAGCGCTCGTTTACTTTGCTGCGTGGTAAACTGCGACCAGATGCAAAAAAAAACAAAACAGCTGCAACGTTTTGTGTGTGTGTTTGCGCTGTAAAATGATCAGTTTGGACTCCGAGACGCTTTAAGAACTCGAATAGCCACAAGACACATTTTCAAACGCAATCTTACAGCCCCATCATTTGGCTGTAGGAGTTTCCACTCCAATGGAGCCCAGGGGAGTTGGACCTTGTTTTCATGCTGCTTTGTTTATGAGCAGAACTGCAGAAGCGAACCGGGATCGACACCTTCCGAGGCGTTAATGAAAAGCAAGAGACACAACAGCTTCTGGTGCAAGTGCGCCGCCACACAGAGTCACCGAGGCGCCGTCCACGGCTACACGGAAAACTCACACGTGGTATTAAGGACGCAGAAGCACTTGAACCCCATTCCGCTTGCCGCTAATTCACCCATGTAAGAGGATACGAGAGGGACCTTTAGGCTTTTGAGGGGACGAGAGTTAAAAACAGTCTAATCACGAGTCGTCATGGAGTGTGAAAATGAGCTTAATTGATGTTAATAGTCTCCTGGTATTTAAATTGTTGCAGCTTTGTTGCAAAGGGCATGTTATTCAATTCAGTACAATTCAATGCAAGCCGACTGTATAATAATCCATTCACAGCTCAGCTGAAACTTAAAGGACAAAACAAAGCAAAATACTAATTTATCAGATCAATGCCTGATCATCTCTGGTGCCGCCTCTCAAAAATGAGAATCAGCTTTTCTCTGTTGGCACTAAAAAAAGATTTGAATTAGATTTTGAACTGTTGGCTTAACAAAACAATCACATCAGGCTTTGCCATCACATCTATTTCATTTCATCACAAATCATCAATGGATCTTAAAGGGTTTCATCTGATCTAATGTTCTACTAAAGTCAGTAAAGAGTGTAAAATAAAATGACTCAGTCAGAGAATAAAACAGCTTTTGCTGAAAGCCAGCAGTGGGTGAGCCTCCACTGTTTGGCGTATTCTCTGATTCTCTGAATTAATTATGGATAATATGGATGGTCTTCAAACTAATATTTTAATTTGGTGACGGGCTTCAAAAGGGGCATCCATTCATTTTTTTAGTTTTAAATATGGGTTCAACGTGAACTCTAGTTTCTCTGTAATTGTTGCCTTTACAGAAATAGTCGAGGGCAATTCTTCACCAATAATCCCCCCAAAAAGCCCCCTGGTTATTTTTCTAGGTGTGAATTATTTACATGTAATATATTTGACCCCTCCCACATCTCCACAGAAAACCACACCCCAAAAGACTATTTGGATCCCCAATCTTTGCCACGGAACTAATTTAAACTGCGAGTTGCTGACAATCCCACAGCTTCTGTGGTGTCACTTGGGCCCGAGTGGGAATGACATCTGGGCCCATGGATGTGAATAACAACGTGACAGGCAGCCATGCTCTTGTCACACTGAGATCAACTCAAGCACATCAGGACACCGGAGGCGTGTCTTTGCTCCGGTTTCCCCCCTCGGCCCACCCATCCGCTCCACGACTGACCCCCGTCCCGGTGACTGGACCCCCCCCGCCCACTCTGTCCGACAGCCGTCACGCGACGGTGCAACATTTTGTTGTTCGTTAAGTGTTTAGGTCAAAGTTGACCACAAGTCTTTGTTTTTGCAAAGCGTTCGTTGAGTGGCATCACAAGTCTTCCTGATGACGGTGCGAGTCTCTCAGGTATCTGAATATTCACCATTTAAATGACACAGTATTTCAACATTATCCTCCGTTCTAGTTTGAGAAATGCGCTTGGTTGTTTTTTTATCTAGGTAGGATAT